ATCTATAAAATTATCCTTCATAAAATATCCAAAAGTTAACGATTATTGGTCAAGTGGTCCTTGAAAAATTACACTTTTAAAATTTTAAAATTTTTGGTTTTATGGTCCCTAAAAAAATTCCTAAACCATCCAAGTAGTCCTTGAAAAAAATTTTTAAAAAATCTACAAATATTTCTCAGATAGCCTTTGAAAAGTACCCTTGCCAAAATTAAAATGCATTGAACTGTTGGTTTAAAAGAAAGCAATCCACTACGAACCTTGGGAATATATCCTTACAGAATCCACAATAATTTGTCAGACTGTCCTTCAATTATCCAAGATTATATGTCTGATGGTCCTTGAAGAACAATCTTTAAAATTAACGACAATTGGTCAAGTTGCCCTAAAAAAAGTATTTTAAAAACCACTCAGAAAATAGTCCAAAATATATGCGTCAGATGGGCCTTGATAAATATTTTTAAACTTAAAACAAGTAAGAAAGCTGAAAGTTCGACCAGGCCGAATTGCAATTTTCAAAAAAAAAAAAAATAAAATACGTTAAAAATTCTGTTAAATTCTTAAAAATGCCGAATATAGCTGTTATATTTACGAAACTTGAAAAAAAAAAATATCGGCGAATAATGTCGTTAAAATCATCATATATGGGGGCTATACGAAGACGTGGACAGACAATTTTCTGTCATAGGCTGTAGTATCTATTATGAACCTCTTATACCAAATTTGAAACAATTCTGGTAAATAATGTCACTAAAATCACCAAAATACCGAATATCGGGAGCTACCGTTATATGGGGGCTATATGAAGACGTGGACCTACACACACAATTTTCTGTCTTAGGCTGCAGTATCCATTACGAACTTTAAATACCAAATTTGAAACAATTCCGGTGAATAGTGATGCTAGAACCATCAATATACCGAATATCGGGAGGTACTGTTATATGGGGGTTATACGAAGGCGTGGACCCGCATTTCTGACATAGGCTGTAGTATCCATTACGAACTTCAAGTACCAAATTTGAAACAATTCCGTCGAATAATGTCGCTAATATTATCAAAATACCGAATATCGGGAGGTACTGTTATATGGGGGCTATACCAATACGTAGACCTACATGACCCATGTTTAATACCAAAAATAATGCAGACACAATATACATTTGAGTAAAATTTTACCAACCTAATTCATTTCGTTCGAAAAGTAAAGTGATTTCCACAGACGGACAGACATAGAATTTTATGCTGATACGGAATATATATATTTTGTGGGGTCTAAAATATATATTTCGAGGAGTTACAAACGAAAAGACAAACTTAGTATACCCTCCATTCTATGGTGGAGAGTATAACAAGTCAAATAGCATCAGTCGATTTTGCCGACAGATGTGTACCCCCAGCCTTGACTTATGAATATTCAAACTCTTCACTTTTAATGGGGAAGGTTCCGTAGCACTTGGCCAGCATTGACCAATTCGTACCTGACCTAAGATTGATAAAAGTAATACAATGTGACAGATTTGGACTATATCGACTACTTCCTGTACTTTATATGAGACATGTGCAAATGTTTGGAAAATGTGGAAATGTGCGTGAGGTAACATATATAACGGACCGAAAAATTCCATTTAATCTAATACGTATAAAAATATTGGTATGTGCAAAATTGAAACGAAATCGAACATTTATATCCAAGTTTATAGGAAATCATAAATTCCGATAAATGACATATTCATATCAGATTTCTAGTTAAGAGAAATCTAGAGATATAACAAGTTGTATAGAATCGCCGACTTGATTCGCAAGTTATGACAGATAAAAGTATTGAAAATCGTGACCCTTTGTGGTGAGGTACCAGAAGGGGTTGACAGGTGTATATCATCTTCACAACAGATCTTGTGTTCGCAAAAATGTTTGTATGTGTGAAATTTGAATAGAGTTGGATGCTTATTTCGTGTTTTGTGACCGTTTTCCTTTTTAAAAATGTCGAACACTTTGTTCAGAAGGAGTTCCCCGATATACCACATTTTCACAGTAGATCTTGTGTTAGTAAAAATAATGACATGTGTGACATTTGAAGAGAACCGGATGCTAATTTCGGATATTATGATCGTTTATTCGAAATTTTGACCGTTTGTTGGGGACGTATCAGAAGGAATGGTCTCATCTTTATAACAGATCTTGTCGTAATAAAATACTAAGATATGCCAGGTATGAATTGAATCGGATGACAATTTCGCGTTTTATGAGCTTCATGGATCTTCTAAATTGTAATCCTTGGTGGGGCAGATACCTGAAGGAGACGACCGATATATTCCGTCTTCACAGCAGATCTTGTGGTAGTAGAAATGATGGGATATGTGAAATATAAGTATCGAACTGGATGCTTATTTCGGATTTTATAATCGTTTTGATTATTCAAAACTTTCACCCTTTGTAGGGGACGTACCAGAAGGAGTATTCCGATCTCAACCATCATTATAAAATGTCTTGTGTTGATGGAAATATTCAGATGTGCCAATTGTAAATGAGATCGGATATTAATTCACGTTCTATGAGCTTCAGGGATATTCAAAGTTTTGACCCTCTGTGGGTGAAAATCCATCTTTACATCAGACCGTGAGTTAAAAAAAATATTGTGATGTGTGTTATTTGAAGATAATATGGCTTTCGAATCACATTTTATAAGATTTATCATTATTCAAAATGTTGATCCTTTGTGGGGGAGGTACTTGATGGTGTGGACCGATATTGTCCATTTTCGCACCTAACCTAGCACTAATATAAGGATTTGCAAAGTTGGAGCAAAATCGAATTATTGATGCTCTTTCTGGGCAAAAAAAAAAAAAAAATTGAAAATTTCGACCTTTTGTGGGGGGGGGGGTTTGTTACTAGAAGGAGTGGACTGATTTATTCCGTCTTGGCACCAGACCGTGGGTTAATAAAATTATTGGGACTCCTAAATCAAATTTTATAACAGTTGTAATTATTCAAAATTTTGGTCCTTTGTGACGTAGCACTGACGCAATTATTAGGATTTGCAAAGTTGGAGCAAAATCAGATTATATTTTCTCTTTCTGTACAGAAAATATATTTTTTTCAAAATTTCGACCAGTTGTGGGGGAGCTACTCGATCTCCGAACTCGATCTAAGTTTGACAAAAATATTACGATTTACCAAGTTTGAACCAAATCGGATACTCCCTTCGAGAGTTATCGTGCTCACCAGCCAGACAGACAAACGGACGGACAGACATCGCTAAATCGACTCCAAATATCCTGAAACGGATTTGTTGCAAAGAGACCTAGCGTCTAAAGCCGTTATTTCGATGAGGCACTTTTTGGTCATATCAAATGATATATCCTCTCTAGCCATATGGCTGAGGGTATAAAAATAACCACTTTAGGGCCTTGAGAGTCCTGGAAAAGATATTTTAAATGTTTCGAAAATGACATAGATATCCTGTTCAGGAATGTTCTTTAGAGTAGGTCTCGATTATGTCATCTGTAGTACTTGGATAATATTTAAAAAAATCTGCAAATATGGTTGTTTTTTTTTTTTAATTGAAGAATTTAATGGTTGAAAAATTATATGTCCTAATTTTGTTATTAAAGAATATTCTTCTTAAAATCGTCCTAATTATACCTTTATAAACTCTGCATTCAGGAATATGTTCCTAGAAGTCCACGAAAATGTAGCCCTGAAGAAAAAAAATATAAAAAATTTTTGGTTAGAATGTTATTCTTTAAAAAAATCATATTTTATATCATGAACTCCTTCCAAAAAGATTCTTTAAAACTACCACGAGTTCTGAACCAATAAAACAGCGAGGATCCATTAGGCCTTCTACGGTAAAAAAATACTATTTAAAAAAAAAAGCCTACGACTGTTGTCTTTGAAAATTATCATCACAAGAATCCTCAGGGTCGGAATATAGATCAAAGATATCTTAAAAATATAATTTCATAACCTACGAATTTAGTCTTCAACGAAAACAGGATTATTGCTGGGGGAAGGTTTTTGAAAAAAAAAATATTTCAAAAAATTACTTGACTACTTTTTCGGTAATCTGGTATGTTTTAACAATTCAAAATTATATATCTGAAAGTCCTTGAAAAATATATATTTTTCCAAACTGACCTGATTTTGGACATGAGAGTACTTCCCGTTTTTCTTAACAAAAATCATGACTTTAGGTCTTTAATAAACCTGAAGAGAGACCTTAAGGATTGATCCCATAAAGTCTACAATTATAACTCAAAGAGTCTTGAAAAAAAAAAACATTACTTTAAAAATTAAATCCATTAAATTCTCAGAAAATCCGCAAATATCATCAGCCCCATCTTCCATTTCCCAATCAAATAACCAGTTATTCTCAAAATTTCAATTTATTGGCTTGAATTCAATTCATTCGCTCAACTGGTCATAACTCTTTCATGGGATTTTTAATTGTTTTTCGTTTTTTTTCTCGCAGTGGATATTTTCTCTTTCTCTCTCTCTCTGGGGTCGTTAAAATAGTTCACACATCTTAGTCAACGTTTTGTTTTAAATTGCCTGCTATCTTCATGGGACCAAACACGCTTACAACCTACCTCCCTCCCATCCTCCCATACGTTAACCCCTTCCCCCTCATGTCAAACAATTTGGCATTATGTCAAACCCTGAAAGAACGAAACTCAATATCCACTCAACTAAAGTCCTTTAAATCAATTGCTTGGCCCATTGTCATTGCCCGACATATCGCCTGGCAGTTGGATCCTGTTGGCATTCATCAACCGGGGGTTTTGGGTTGGCTTTGCAGCAGAAGGAGCAGAAACAGCAGCATTTAAATGAATTGAAATCGAAACTAACCCAAAAGCAAGTCATTGAACTTTTGCCAATTGTTTTGTCGTTTTGCTGTTGTTTGTATTAATTTGTTACCCGTTGTTTCCGTTTCCGTTTGCCCAACTCCAAGTGTATATGTGTGTGTTTTTACATTTATGTGTCACTTTGTTCCATTTCAGGTCATTTGGGTTTGCATATTGTGCCGTAAAAAACAGGAGCTCCTATCCAAGACCGGTCAGTGGATCAATAAGGCCACCATACAACAGGATGGCTTTATACGTCGCAATGAACCGGATGGCAGCAGTGTAAGTACAACAATTTTATTGGTGACTTCCTTCAGAAGGGGAAAAAACAAAAACAACAACAACAATGCCTAATTCAGGACACGACCATTAATTTATGCAAAATCCTTGTGTCTTTGTTTCTTCCTTCCTTCCATTTTGATTGTTTTAGGACATTTCCCAACAGGCTGTGGTCGATCCTCACGATGCGCTCGACAAACGACCAAAACTCGAGCGTACCCGTAGTGCCGCCGAAAAGGAAAATCTACCGCTACAACGTTCGGGTAGCATGCTGAAACGACAATATTCACAACAAGAACAAACAACGAATCAAAGGGATATGATGGGTCCCAATATGGGCATGGACATCATGAGTCCGGGCCAAAGGCAACGTATGCAACCAATGACGCCACAACATATGCAACAACAGCATCAGCAGCAGCAACAACAGATGTCACAACAAGGCCAATATAATAGGGGCCAGCAAGGTCATTATGGTGGAGGTAGTGGTGGGAGCGGGCCAGGAATGCACCATCAAAAGGACGAAGATCCAAGATTATACCAAGTAAGTCCTTGCTAAAATATTTCTTAAAAATCCACGTTAATTTTGGTTCTTGATTTTTTTTTTAAATTCACGTTTATTTTAGTTCTTGATTGTTTTTTTAAATTCACGTTTATTTTGGTCCTGTTAACAATAATTTTAAAAAATCCACGTTTCTGTTGGTCCTTGCAAAAATATTTTTTTAAAACATCCACGTTTATTTTTATCCTTGAAAAAATATTTTTTAAAATATCCACGTTTATTTTTATCCTGGAAAAAAATATTTTTTAAAATATCCACGTTTTCTTTGGTCCTGGTAAATATAATTTTAAAAATCCACATTTATTTTTATCCTTAAAAAATATTTTTTAAAAATCCACGTTCATTTTTATCTTTGAAAAAATATTTTTTAAAAATCCACGTTTATTTTTGTCCTTAAAAAATATTTTTTTAAAAAATCCTCGATTTATTTTGTCCTCGAAAAATATTTTTTTTTTTTAAATTCACATTTCGGTTGGTCCTGGAAAAATATTTTTATACTATTCAATTTTGTTTTGTTCCTTTAAAGCGATATTTTTTAAAAAAGATCGCCTTTCGGTTGGTCAGTAAAGGAACATTTTTTACACGATCTACGTTTCTGTTGGTCCCTGAACATATATTTTTTTAAATCTATGTTTCTGTTGGTCCCTGAAAAAATATTTTTTTAAAGATCCGAGATTCTGTCGGTTCTTGCAAAAATATTTTTTAAAAATCCAGGTTTCTGATCCTTAAAAAAATATTTTTTTAAATCCATGTTTTTTCTGGTCCTGGAAAAAATATTTTTTAAGAATCCAGGTTTCTTATCCTTAAAAACATATTTTTTTATATCCATGTTTCTTTCTGGTCCTTGAAAAAATATTTTTTAAAAATCCACGTTTATTTTGGTCTTTAAAAAAATATTTATTTTTAAAAATCCACGTTTCTGATCCCTAAAGAAATATTTTTTTTAATGCAAGTTCTTTTCTGGTCCTTAGAAAAATATTTTTTTTAAATCAAAGTTCTTTTCTTTTCTGTCCTTGAAAAAATATTTTTCCAAAAATCTACATTTTTGATCCTTAAAAAAATATTTTTTTAAATCCAAGTTTTTTTTCTGATCCCTGAAAAAAATATTTTTTCCAATCCATGTTTTTTTCCTAATCCCTGAAAAAAAATATTTTTTAAAAATCTACTTTTCTGATCGTTGAAAAAATATTTTTTTAAATCCACGTTTTTTCTGGTCCTTGAAAAAATATTTTTTAAAAATCCAAGATATTTTATGTTCCTTAAAAATTTTTTTTTTAAATCCAAGATATTTTCTGGTCCTTAAAAAATATATTTTTTTAAAAATCCACATTTACGTTGGTCCTTGAAAAAATATAAAATCCGTATTTTATTTGATCCTTGAAAAATATTTTTCAAAAATACACATTTAATTTGATCCTTGAAAAAATATTTTTTAAAAATCCACATATAATTTGGTCCTTGAAAAAATATTTTTTAACAATCCAAGTTTATTTTTTTCTTGAAAAAATATTTTTTAAAAATTCACATATAATTTGGTCCTTAAAAAAATATTTTTTAACAATCCAAGTTTATTTTTTTCTTGAAAAAATATTTTTTAAAAAAATCCACGTTTATTTTTTTCGTGAAAAAATATTTTTTAAAAATATCCACGTTTAATTTGGTCCTTGAAACAATATTTTTTAAAAAAATTCACGTTTAATTTGATTCTTAAAAAATATTTTTTTAAAAAATCCACGTTTCATTTGATTCTTAAAAAATATTTTTTTAAAAAATCCGCGTTTCGTTTGATTCTTAAAAAAATATTTTTTTAAAAAATCCCCGTTTCATTTGATTCTTAAAAAAATATTTTTTTTTTTAAATCCTCGTTTCATTTGATTCTTAAAAAAATATTTTTTTTAAAAAATCCACATTTCATTTGATTCTTAAAAAAATATTTTTTTAAAAAATCCACGTTTCATTTGATTCTTAAAAAATATTTTTTAAAAAATCCACTTTTCGTTTGATTCTTAAAAAAATATCTTTTAAAAAATCCACGATTCATTTGATTTTTAAAAAATATTTTTTAATCTACGTTCTGTTTGTCCTTGAAAAAAATATTTTTTTTATAAATCCAGGTTTTGGTTGGTTCTTAAAAAATATTTTTTTATAAATCCAGGTTTTGGTTGGTTCTTAAAAAATATTTTTTTACAAATCCAGGTTTTGGTTGGTCCTTAAAAAAAATATTTTAAAAAAATCCACGTTTCTGTTGGTCATTGAAAAAAAATATTTTTTAAAAATCCAAAAAAGTTATTTTAAAAATACGCGCTGAAAAAATATTGTTTTAAAAATCAACGTTTATTTTTAATTTTTAAATATTTTTTTTCTAATTGTTTTTTAATTTTTTTAAAATGTTTTTTGGTCCTAAAAAATATTTTTTTTAAGGATATGTTCCTTTTGGTACTTAAGACAATAGTTTTAAAAATTCACGTTTATTTTTAATTTTTAAATATTGTTTTTATAATTGTTTTTTAATTTTTTTAAAAAGTTTTTTGGTCCTAAAAAATATTTTTTTTAAAGATATGTTCCTTTTGATACTTAAGACAATAGTTTTAAAAATCCACGTTTATTTATAATTTTTAAATATTTTTTTAATTTGTTTTTTATTTTTTTAAATATTTTTTTGTCCTAAAAAATAGTTTTTTAAAAAAATATACGTTCCTCTTAGTCCTTAAAACAATAGTTTTAAAAAATCCACGTTATTATAGTCCATTAGTTGTTGCTCTTTATACATATATTATTTTTTAATTATTTTGTTAATTTAATATATTTTTATTTAATTTTTTTATGTTTTTTAGGGAGAAATTGATGGTCTCATGAAACAACATCCGCATTTGGCACACCCCAGTCAGCGACAGCAACAACAGTACCAATACCAACAGCAGCAGCAACAACAACAACATCAGCAGCAACAACAACAATATCGCATGCAACAGCAATCACAACAACAGCAGCAGCAACAACATCAAATGCGTGGACAACAGCAACAAGGCCCAACAAATACTTCCTCCGTTACCTATGCAACACTACAACATCCACAACAGCAACAACAACAAAGGCTTCCAACATCATCTGCAGCACAACAACATCACCAGCAGCATCAACAACAGCAACATCATCAAACCCATCCACATCATTACAGTGGTGTTGGATCCTCCTCACAACTCTCAGCTGCTGGCCATCATCAAACACCGGCATCGTCCGCTGCCATTTCCTCTAACGCCGCCCTTGTCTCCGTCTCGACCTCTGCAACATCCTCTCAGGGTTATCAAAAGCCTCCGCCAATACAACGTAATCTAACCATAAGCGGTGGACATGCCATGGATCCATCGACCTATAATGCTCGCCGCCATCTAAACGTTAGTCAGTATGCCGCTCAACAGCAGCGAAGTTTTAGTAGCTACGAAGATGAAATACAGCAGCAACACTCGCAATATCCAGCGACGTCGGGGTTGTCATCATATGACTTAGAGGGTAAGTTCGATCGTTGTACCATTCGAATTGGATTGAATTGTGTATTTGTTTACCCAACCCCCACGTACCCTTATCGTGATCACCACAAAACAAACAAAATGTACACCTGTATCCTTTTTTTTTTTTTTTGGTTTTGTGTTGAAATTTTGTTTTTCTTAAGTTATTGCTCTCAAAAGTGTGTATGCATATTCTCTCTTTCAAATATGATGACCTACCTCTCTTACTATCTGTCTCTCTATAAATATATGGCTAACTAACTGTATTAACAACAAATGATCCCTGATAACAAACACTCCATTACTTTTTGTTGTTTTAATTTGGTATGAGAGAGTATATCTCTCAGAATTTTAATTTGATTTTGATTTGAGAGAAAATTTCTCTCAGATTTTTTATTTGATTTTGATCTCCTCTCCATACTCCAAACACAAACAAATCTTAAATGTAATGAAAATCCATAAAGTGTTAGTACGACAACACTTTAAATCATGCTTCAATATTTTCTAAAGGAGTTTTTTAAAAAATTTTAAATATTAAATATGTTTTTGTTGTTGTGTAAACTATTTATGAATTAACGTAACATAATAACATATTTGTTGGGAATTTTATAAATATTGAAATTATTAATGTCTTAACTGATTTAAGTTAAATTTAAGATTTTGTAGGATTTTAATTTTTTTCCCTTTCCTTTGCGATTTTCGTTTTTCCTCGAATAGAATAAGAAATGTTATTAATATGTATTTTTCTCAACTAAAAGTATTTTATGTAATAGGTATTAAAAATAAGTTATTAACTAAGATATCATTTTTATAAATTATAATACATATAGTCTTTGGTAAAATTAATATTTAATAACCGTTAATTTTCCATAATCTATTTCTATATCAAGACGATATTAGGTATTTAAAATAACTTTTTCTAATATTCGTTAACCTTAGTCGAACATAAACGAAGTCCAAAATATGCCGAAGAGTTCAGCAAGAGATGATACAGTTTTACATTTTTTTTTTTATTTTTCTACTTTTATAACAATTGTTTTTGGGAATCTCTCCCTAAAACAACATAACTTATAGCAGTTTTTTTTTAATTCTGATAAGACACAAAACAAGTTCGGAAGTATTAGTCGGATTTTCAGAAAGCTTTGTATTATTGGAACAACGATATGGAAAAATATATTTTATGAAAAAAATCACAAAAATTTAGTCATTAAAAAATATTGAACTGAATTATTTGGAAATTAAAATATATAATTTCAAAAACTCGAGATAAATACCATTAAAAACCTATGCGATTATTTTTTTCCTTTAAAATATAACTTTTCAAAAATCTATAAAAATTTTGTATTGTGCTTAAAATTTAAAAAATCCTTGATTTAGTCCTTGAAGAAATATCATTAAAAAAATCCATAAATATAGCCAAGTCAAAGAGTCCGAGGAAAGGTGCTTAGGTACGTTAGGATGTCTTTTATCGAACTTCCTCTCTTAATTCAGTTTTTGCCCAAACTCATTTAATCAACCTCGGGCACGTCCTTGGGACACTTGCCAACAAACCTATTACATTTTTCTTCCTTACTTTTTTGGAAGAATTAATTTCTTTTAAGAGAATTAATTTCTCTTCCCTTCGTCTAACATCACTAGAGGGTCCCGTCTCGAGTGCTGTGGCTTTTTGAAATTATGTTCAATTTAGTTATTTCAAATGTATTATTTACAAAAATCCACCTACATTTAATCCTTTAATAAAATTAAGAATTATCAGTCGGGTTTTTCCAGAGGTGTGGAACCTTATGGTGGAGGTACATCTTATGTATTGAAAATTGTGAACCTTTGTGGTGGAGGTACCAGAAGGGGAGGGTCGATATATATCATATTCACACTAGATCATGTTTTGGAAGAATTATTGGAATGTGCGAATTTTAGAAAGAATTAGAGAGCAATTTTCTTATTCGAAATTTTGAGACTTTTTTAGGGAGGTTCCACAAGAAGTATGCCAATATATAATATCTTCACACCAGATCTTGTGATAGCAAAAATATTGGAATGTGTTTAAGTTCGGCCGGGCCAAACTTCGAATATACCCCACCAGTTGGAACGAATTTGGCCATTTTCAAAAAATTAAATCCGTTTAAATCTTAAAAATACCAAATGTAGCCATTGTATTAGGGTCTATGCGACGACTTGGGCCTGCATAGGTAACTTTTGTCATAAGCCATTACATTATTCAAATGGGAAACTTGAAAAAAATTCGGTGAATAATATAGGTAAAATCATCAAAATACCGAATATCGGGGGGTACCGTTATATCGGGCCTATAGGGAGATGTGGACCTGCACAGAAAATTTTCTGTCATATGCTGTAGTATCCATTACGAACTTCAATTACCAAATTTGAAACAATTTCGGTGAATAATGTCGCTTAAATCATCAAAATACCGAATATCGGGAGGTACCGTTATAAGGGGGCTATACGACGACGTGGACCTACATGGTCCATTTTTAATACCAAATGTACTACAGACATAATATAAATTTGAGTAAAATTTATTTATCTTCTTTCGAATTTCCTCAGGTACCTTAGCTTTAATCTAAACTCTCTAAATCCATCCATCTTTTATGTCCTTGGCATTCCTGCCAACAAATTTGTTGCAGTATGGTGTCTTAATGGAGTTGTCCTCCAAGAATTTCTCAGGAAATCTTTCCTGGCTCAAAACTCGGCCATCACACTCCTTTAGAAATTTGGACAATAACTCTTTCTACCTCTGTATAGCACATAGGGTAGGATAGTTTATAATATTTGTAATCACAATTGAAATTGGAGACCTTTCAGTCTATCATCTTCATCCTGAGAGAAAAAGAAAGAAGGAATAAAAGTTGAGAGAGATGAAAATTGATATATCTTTGTAGAGAAGTAAAAAGAATGGTGAAAAGCGTCGAATAGAGTTTTGGTATAAGTTTGCGAAGTTATGGATGATAAAGGGATCAAAAGTTGAATGTTCCCCCATAGCTCGTAGCTTTTCCCTTGCGTCGTAAATGGTGTTCGATCATTTAATTTTCTTTCTCATCCTCACACTGCTTGTAGTATTCGACGTTAGAGTTGGCACATATGTCGCCCCATCCAATGCTTCTGTCTTATGTCTACCCTTTACTGCGGAATCGCTGTCGGTGTTCATGGTCGAAGTCGTTTAATCACTTTTTGATTGTTTGTATGGTTTGGATTTGGTACAATTTCTTTTATTTATCCATATAATGCTATCGAACCATTAGTACGATAGTGAGTGCCCTGTTTTCATTGAGGCTTCCAGGTGTTAAAAGAACGCCTCCAGGGTCAGGTACAAATCCATTTTGTTCTATTTAGTTTGTATACCCTCCACCGTAGTATGGAGGGCATATTAAGTTTGTCATTCCGCTTGTAACACCTCGAAATATACATTTTAGACCCCACAAAGTATATATATATTCTTGATCAGCATAAAATTCTGTGTCGATTTAGAGATGCCCGTCTGTGGAAATCACTCTAGCTTCCGAACGAAATTGAGTAGGTTGCTAAATCTTACTTAAATATTTATTATGTCTGCAGGACTTTTGGTATTGAAAATGGGCCTATAACTCCACGTTTTGGAAGAGCCCCCATATAATGGTACTTTCCTATTTTCGGCATTTTGGCGATTATAGGTACAATATTCACCGGAATTATTTTAAATCTGGTATTTGAAGTTCGTAATGGATACTTCAGCACTTGACAGAAAATTGTCGTCTGCGTACAGTCCCCATATAACGTTACTTTTCTATATTCGGTATTTTGGCGATTATGGGTACAATATTCACCGGAATTTCGTATTTGAAGTTCGTTACGGGTACTACAGTCTGTGACATAAAATTGACTATGCAGGTGCAGATCTTCGTATAGCCCCTCTTATAGCGATGCCTTCTATATTCGGTATTTTGATGATTTTAGCAAAATTATTCACCGGAATTGTTTCACAACTTCGTATTTGAATATTATTATGGCCTATGACAAAAATTGCCTATGCACGTCTTTGCATAGACCACAAAATAACGACAACTCACTACATTCTGTATTTTTAAGATTTTAACAGAAATTAATTAATTTTTGACGGATTAATTTTTTAGAGAATTTCCAAATTCGTTTTAAATAGTGGAGGGTATTCAGGGAATTTATTTTATTTATTTTTTTGGTTTTTGAAAATTTTCAAATTCGTTCCAAATTGTGGAGGGTATTCGACCCGGTCCAAATTGCTGCTTTTTCATTTGTTTAGTACAACAAATGAACGATTTTTGAAAAGTAAGCTTAGTATCACATTTCAGAATTCTCTCGTTAAATGTGCAATATTTAGTACGAATAATTGCTAACACCATCTTACCTAAGTTCTCGAGTCAATAGTGACCCACATGCGAAATTTGAAGCGTCTAACATTTTAAGTATTGAATTATGGTCTTAAACACACATTTTTGGTACTTTGCAGTACCTTTTTAATACAAATTTCCAGAAACGGTACCTTATCTAATGTATTGCGTAAATGGTGACCTATAAGTGCAATGTGAAGATTCTATCACCTAAAATGACCACGAGGAGCTATCTACATATGGAATTTTGAGATTTTAAACATTGCTCATTCTTCTAGCCGTTGCTAAGACAATCAGTTTCAAATTTGGTATTTAAAGTTCGTAATGGGTACTACAACCTATGACAGAAAATTGTCTATGCAGGTCCACGCATTCGTATAGCCCTCATATAAGTATTGAAGTATTTTTCAAGTTCCTTTCAAATGGTGAAGGTTATTATAAAATTCGGTCCGACATAACTTTGTTGCTTTTTTACCTCTTCTTAACTAAATTCATTCATTTCACTAAATTCTCCACAGGGGCGGTTAGCCTAGTTTCAATCTTCCAATTAAAAAATCTCATAAAATTGTTTAACACTTGTCACATAACAAATTATAATTTATTCAATAAAATAAAATACAAACAAAAGTTACGAATGGATGTTATCGCCAAGCAATTTTAACCCACCCCTAAATCTCTTCTCCCCCCTACAAGCAACAACAAAAGGCTAAAAACGGCCATTGATGGATATTTGTAAAATTGCTTATTTATGTATTTGTGTCCATGTGTGTGTGTGTGTGTGTTTATATGGACATGTAATTTAAACTATTGTTGCCTCTGACCTGAAAACACAATTTGGCAAACAAGACACACAAAACAAAAAAAAAAAACAGCAACAAAAACGACGACACAAACAACATTGACGATGAAATAAAAGTACAACAACCAAACTTATAACAGCTAAACAATAAAA